ATTTGACAAAATGATAAGCATTAATCATGCAAGCAAAGATTGAATAGATAATGCAATTATATATCCACAATCGACAGCAATGAATCTCATTAGAGTATCAAGGGATCATCATACAAATACTACCGGAAGGACTTGGCATACTTTGAAAATAACAATGTGATATATTTAGATGTATTTAAATGAGTATCAATGGAGAATTGCAAGCAACGACTTATGATAACTGAAGTTTCTGTACAACTCAAATATAAACAATAAATTGCAAAGTGAATGAAAATGAAAAAATGCAGTGTATCTACTAGTAAGTGTAAAGAAAACGGTGGACTGTAGGTAGTTGTTATTTGCCCACAAACAAAGATCAGGCGATCCCTGATGAACAAAGAGGGCTCATGTATGAATAGGGAAAGCTGCTACAAAGGATCTTGAAAACCATTTGCTCAAAATGTGGTTTCTAATGAATGATATAATTTATTCATGAGGGATGTAGAGGGATCTAACTTCTCTACAAGGAACATAACGAACACATTTGCCCACTTATAACTGATGACGATGGCTAAGATGTGAAAGCAACGACTCCCCTACAATCGAGATTAGATATCTTGTGGGTACAAATGACGGCTACCACAATTATTAAAAGATACACAAGTAAATGTAACAATTATCAATCAACATACATGGGGAGATCATTGATGAATGCAATCCATTCAACAATCAATGTTAATATACAAAGTGAATGTGCTAAATCGTCCCTACAAACATACGATGTCATGTCACAAATGATATGACATGCTCGTGAGCAAGGTATGAAGAATATTTGGTAGATGAAGCAGCTGCCTTACAACACTTCTACCATCAACATCAGAACATAAACAACCATATTCAATCTTGCAAGCAATGAAATAGGAGGGGATATATAATTTGATCCCGAACAAATATACAATCAATAATTCTTATGAGCATTAGAAGACATGCAAATAGATGTGGCAGTTCGCCAGTCAACAATACATAAGGAAATCAAGAACATATACAAGCACCTACAAGCTGTGTAGTAGAAGATAATAGATGCTACATCATCCTTGTAGTCAACTCCTATACAATGTCAATCAAATATGTTGATCATTTGCAAGTAAAGATGAAGGACATGCGACAAACACAGGCACCTACAACCTGCTATGGGAGACCCGCTATATGCCCAATCTATTATCCACAAACAAAATGCAAAAATGATACATCAAATATGAGTCCCTACGGGCCGTCGTGAAAAACCTGTCAAATGTCCGGAATACTCCCGCAAATGCACCATAATTTGTATACACATAGGTACACTAAAGGGGTAAATACAATCATGACCCGCATGGGCATAGCTGTCAATAGCGCAAAATAGCGCGCGCCATGGCGCACGGCGCGGCGCGGCGCACCTACGGCACCATGTTCATGGCGAGGCACATGTGTTTAAAATAGCGCGCGCTATTTGCGCCACATGTGAGCCATGGCGCATTGCACACGGTGCAAAATAGCGCGCCAAATTGTTTTTAAATTTTGGTATACTTATGAATATGTTTTTATACCGCTCGGTACCGCTAGTTACATGCTCTGTACCGCTCGGTACAGCTCTGTACAACTAGGTACACGCTCGGTACATGCTCGGTACCGCTCGGTACATGCTTTGTATCACTCGGTACAGCTCGGTACAACTAGGTACACTCTCGGTATTGCTAAGTACATGCATGATACCGCTCGGTACCGCTATGTAAATGCTCGGTACCGCTCGGTACATGCACGGTACCGCTAGTTACATGCTTTGTACCACTCGGTACAGCTCAGTACAACTAGATACATGCTCGGTACCGCTCCCTAATTTCCATACAAACGAACTTCAAAATTTCTCTTACAAATAAATTTTGTTCCGCCAGGGGGCAGCGCCCCCTTGGACCCCCGGCAGCCCCCATATTATGTTTCTTGGACAATATTATGTTTCTTTTATCTAAATTTGTTTGGTTTTAGGTGATCATAAAATGTCAGATTCAGTTCTTATAGGATTATGAAGTAGTGGTATCGATGGTGATGAAGAGGATTATGAAGTAGGAGACAATGTTGAAGAAGATAATTAAGCTTTTTTAACATTTGCTGCTGATGATGATTCTCAAGAAGAGTAGATTAAATTCTTATTTGATCTTTTAAAAAAAAGATTGTAGTATTTGAATTATGAGATATTTGAATGTTACTTAGTCAAACTTATATATGTTATGGTTGTATTTTATTATTATGATAGATTGTCTTTCATTTTTAATAATATTTCATATTCATGCTTATTATTTTATAATTTTTATATAGCTTGCGCCATGTTCAAAATAGAGCGCGCCGCGCCGTGCGCTATGCGCCATGGCTCCAAATGGACCTTTGCGCCATGGTGCGCCATTCGCCATTAACAGGTATGCGCATGGGCCCCAGCGAGCGTGTTTTTGATACACACGTGACGTCTAAGGATGCTGCGCGGGCTAAATGATGAATCTAAGTTCGAACCCGATCCTTCTTGATACGGTTCGAACCATTAAATAAATATGCGGTCATGAGGTCGACCAAGATATTTAGTTTATACATTCATATTAGGCCTTCAAGGCCATTTATAAGAAAAAATTCATCGATAAAATCATACACGTATGGGCCCCGACGAGCGTGTTATTGGTACACACGTAACGTCTAAGAATGTTGCGCGGGTCAATAAGTGAATTCAAGTTCGAACCCGATCCTTCTATACTGATCAATAGGAGTTGATAGGGTTCGAACCATCAAACAAATATACGGTTTTGATGATAGGTATATTTGTCCTAATACATTCATATTAGGTATTCAAGGCCTATAACGATAAGAATTCACTAATAAAGGTACAAAGCCTACGAAACCCGATCCTCCTAAGCAGGTAAATAGGAGTAGACAGGGTCTGAACCATAAGATAAATCTGCAGTCATAAAATTGATCGGAATATTTATTTTATATATTCATATTAGGCCTTCAAGGCCTTTAACAAAGAAAATTCACAAACAAAGGCATGAAACCTGTGAAACTCGATCTTCCGTCGATAACTCGACGTAGTCGACAAGGTTCAAACCACAAATGAAAATGACCCCAAAGTCACCCCGATGATGGCCGTGTTGAACGAAGATCTCAATCGGAGGGGTTAACTTCAAATACTTTCAAGTGTCACCTAAATACCCACAAAGTCCAAAATCGAAGATTCCAAAAATCCCAAAATATTTAAAATTGAAATAAATCATCAAACACTTAAAACAAAATTCATCCACCCTCCGCAACAGTTTATTGGGTGGACAAATCAAAATTTACTTTAGCTCACAAAGAGCTAATGCATAGTGCATAGTTGAAAATATCACAATGATCCATTCTCAAATAATATCCAGTCAGTAAGGATGTGGTACGTGTCCTCTAACCGGAAGTTTTGCCACCAAATGGTACCGCGGGATAAACGGTTATGACCCGGGGTCCTCTGAACCGAGTGGTTTTCCCGCCAAATGGCACCACGAAATACCGGTTATGGCCAGAGCCAATACGTTCCTTAGTGGCATTAAATCCTTTATATATGAATCAATAGGATATGATCGATAGGGCACAAAGCCCTCTGTTAGCTAAGGTGGATTCAAAGTTGTCCCCTTAGGTAAATACCCATCCCAGGTCTACAAGGTACCCTTGGACGAAGCAACTCATGGCTGCCGACAAGAATCCTTTTGTCAGGTTGGGTCGACTACCTCCTCTGACTAAGTAGACCATGAACCATGATAACCCGGGACGACGGAACCATGGGATCTTGATCGGGTCCATCATCCATTCGCCCACCATCCACTTTAAGTGCAAAATGGTGAAAATTTCTATTTAAATATCAAACATTTTCCAAATTTCCAAATCTCAATGCCCATTGCTGCTACTATATGCCTGATACTACGTATCTATGGATACAACGTATCTGATTAATGACTAGCCTTAATCGAAAGTTCTCTCTTGTGATCGGGAGGGGTAATTAACTATAGGGGCTTGCGCCTATTGGAAACTAGAACTCATATCATAAAGTCCTCACAAAATGAGAGCTAAATCTCTGGTAGTGTCTTATCTACAAATCCATCTGCCTTCCAAAATTTACCCCGGAACTTAATTCCGTTAAAACTCCCCCTCGCCAAAGAAGAAAAGCAATTAGTGGGCGGAGGCCGGGGCCGAATTTTCGGAGCCCACAACTTTAGATTCATAAAATCAAAAGCCAACATAGCGCTAATGTTTGGGAAATAAAATGAATGGGCAGGCCCATAGGCCGCATCTGTATCAAGAGATTACTGATTGCGCTTAGCCATTTAAAACAATCAAGCATTCAAAAAAGAATAGCCAAATCAGCCTGTTAAATAAAAATTTTAAGAAAAAAAGCTCCAGAAGTTTTATTAACTGCTACCAACATAAAACTGAATAAAATTTGAGAAATAGAACCAAAAGAAATTGAAGAAACAATCTGTGGAAAATTGTAAGATGCAATAATTCAAGCAATTAGCTGCAGTTCTCTAACGACCCAAACGCAGGCATATAATTGGAATCAATGACTGACAAAGCCTTTGAAAATGAGCACAGCATGAATTCTATATAGCAAAAACAGTGCATTACATTACCAAGGGCAAGATTAACCATAAACTCTTGAAAAGGCATCTCCGCATACACTAATTTAAACTGGATATCATTATCATTAGCTTTAGTATTATTGATTTGCAAAAAGATATCATAGTGTCAACACATGATGCTTCTTTTCAAAGTTGGAAATTACACTGAAAAAAATGCTAGATGCAGTAACATACAAATAAGGAGTAATGCTTCACAAAAATGATGCAAATAACATGATCATAAAAAAGGTTTAAGAGCCAGCAAAGTCCTCATCAAATTTAAACAATAGAGCAAGACAGTAAAACTATTAGAGAATATGTTTAGTATATGCATTAAGGAAATTTGGTACATACCATTAGCAATTTATGTAATATTGACTCAACATCTTCACCAACATATCCTGCCTGCCAGATATCATTAAAAATTCAATTTTAGAAACTTACCATTCACTAAGAAGAGGAGGATGCATATCAATAGAAACTTACAGCCCTCGCAAAAACTTCACAGAATATCTATTCAAAATATTAGATTTTACTAATCTCAAAGGAGAGGGAAAAAGATGCAAATGAAAAGCAATAAGTTGGATTAGCAAATGAAAAACATAACACCTACAAGCTTTCTAATGCAAAGTTTTAGTACTGGAAGGAACATAAAGCAAACAATAATATGAGCTAGAATTCCCACAAGTATGTTAATAATAGGCTGGATTCACTTAGGAGGCATGGAAAAGGCTGCTACTTTCACGTGGCACCAATGAACATTGAAGTCATACTATCCACAAAAAAAAATTATGGATTTTCTATTGCCTGGATTGTTATAGAATAATTTCTGGTACTTGGGATAACATTCCTGATGCGAAATGAGTAGTCAAATAATTTTGTTCAGATTTTTAGATGTGACCAGATTAGAAAGTAAGGATTCCAAAAAAGATGTTTTTTTTATTGCTTTGTGCTATCTTGGTTTTCTTTTCACTTCAGTAGCCCTTCAAATCAAAACTTAAAAACAGGTACAACAGAAATTGTCATCCTTGCACCACTAATGTGACACTAAAAGCCTTGAACTCTTCCATTTCCCACAAAAAACTAATCGTTTTGATTGATGTTGATCTGCAAGTTGTCCAGGCCTCTGGGGTCTATGTAAATTATCCTTTCAAGGTTTCAAAACTTGATCCCTAATCTCAGTCGCAATCCACTTGATGCATTTTGTTGGACTCACTAGTATCATAATATGATCAATTATGTAAGGATTCCATGTTAAATCGCACTAATAATACTATAACCAAACACAATAACAAGAGAAAGCTGAGACCTAGACCCAATGTCCCTTGATTATTGATTTAGCCCTAAAGATGGTGGGCTTAACTCAATTAACTCTATTGGGAAAATTGTACTTTAATATAGAGAGCAGGTATGAAGAAATGGATAGATTGCCTCCACCTAAATTGGAAGTTATTGAATAATTCACAGTAATTTCTTGACTAAAATAAGAAAGAAATATATTCATTCTTTCTATGAAGATGCGGTTGCAGGATACTGGAGGGCCAAATTGGGGCAGAAATCTTGGGATTCTTGTACATGGAGTATTGCCAAGGTTGGCAAGCATGCAGCTGTAGTAATGAGAGCTTCCTTGGGTCACTGACATGGCTACTTCTCCACCCTTGGATGGCATTCTATGGTAAGTGGTTTGGGAAGATTTACAATATTATTTCCTAAAGATTCTATCATCCACTGTTGGTAACTTTTTAAGTGCAATTGCTGCCATTTTATTTCTTTTCTTTTATGGTTTATTACTTTGTATTTTATAAATAGAATAATATTTTAGACAAATAAAAAAAATGGGGCATTTCACCTTTCTTTCTCTCTATTTTGTGGAGAAAATAAAAATCAATGATATTCTTGCAGGTCTTAATAAAGATATAGTTTATAAATTAATAACATACATCAATCATAATTTTTTTTAATCTTTGTATTTTGTAATAGGCTTGAAAATCTCGAGGGAGTTCAAGCCTTTTCGCCAATGATTTTGAGCCACAACAGCCACACTCAGGAGGGACCATGAATGTGTCAATGGCATCAAGTTCGCAAGGCCATTATGACAACTATTGTTCGACAGTAGCCTGTCGTCCTCTGTCGAACATTCTTCAAGCATCGCTCTTCACATCCCCTGACTCAGAATCTAAGATCAACTAAGGGAGGTAAAAAGTATGGTTAAATCTAAGATCGATGGAATGCAAAGATTGTCTTCATTCCTAGCCAAATCTAAGATCAATGGAACGCGGGGTCTTCAATATTCCCTAATGATGAGAGAGAGAGAGAGATGTTCATTTCCCAGCCATTCTTTGATCGTTCACATTTATTATTTTTTTATTTAATATTTTGTCTTTCTAGAGATAAAAATAGGAGAGAGGAATTCTCTCTTTGTTTTAGGAAGAAGCAGGAAAGAGAGTGGAAAAGTGGGTAGTAGCTGGTTAGAAGACGAAAGATGTAGGCCAACGGACTGAGTGAGTGCAAAGGGGCAACAACTTCTATGGGCCAACGTGTGACTAGGACTAAGAATCGTCGGCATTAGAGAGAGTGTGTAGGTACTTCTACTGGAGGGCTACAAGTCTTTTAGCTGATGGTGCAGCGGCTGGGTTTAAGACGGGAGTCGTAAGAAGGGAAGAAAGCAAGGGGACGGGCAAAGGGCTGCAAGTGGTCGAGCATTGAAGTCAATGAGTAGGGTAACATACGTCTGCAGGGAGGTTGATAGCAAACTGGCAATAGTTAGGTAGTTAGACAGGTGAGGCTGCAGGTTGGGTCATGCGCAAGTGCTCGGTGGGTCGAATAGAGGGAGAAGAGCAGGGAAGCGGAAGCTTGCATGAGACTGAGACTAAGAGAGTGGGAAGGAGTTTTTGGCGAGAGCAGGTCGTGTGAGGGAGAGACTGAGCATGAATTCATGAAAGAGGAGAACGGGCTCACGATTATGAGAGAGGAGAATGGACTTATTGGGGTGAAGACCCCTGGTAATATGGTTTTGTATTTAAGTTAATTCAACAGTCCTAAATGCATCGTTACTATCCATTTTGTAAAGGAACGCTATCCAATCAATTTCGACTTTTGGTTAACATGATTTGGACAACTTTTGTGCGGCACAGTATTTTTTCGTTCTCCATTTCACCATGCCTAGTCTAGTTGACATCAACCGAGTTATAGAGGTCAACAGTCATGCATGCCCCTTACGAAGCACATATTAATGTTATTACTACGATTCTCAAATATCCAAAAGGAAGCTTTAGAAAGGGACTTGTTTTTAAGAAAGAAGAATAAATAATTATAGAAACCTATACTAATGTTGATTGGATTTGATTTATAGTAGATAGAAGATCTACTTTTGGATATTGCACATATGTGTGAGATAATCTTATTACCAAGAGAAGCTAAAAATAAAATGTGGTTGTAAGTAGTGTAAAAGCAAAACTCAAATAACTGGCTAGTTTGGTTACTGAATTAACCTGACTTAAACTACTCCAAAAGAACTTTGTGTAACAACTAAGAATTTTATATAACTATTTTGCGACAATCATATGGTTATCAGTATAACATATAATCATTTTCATCATTACCAAACAAAGCATGTAAAGATAGATTGACGCTTCATCAAAAAGAAAATTCATAGGAAATAACTATGCATTTTATAAATTTATTTTGTTGATCAAACTACTAACATTTTAACCAAAGGAATGGATAGACCCCAACATGAAAATTTAATTCATAAGCTTTCTTTGTTTGATATTCATAAATTGGCTCAAGGAGGAGTGTTGAATAATTTGCAAAAATTACTATTTTGTAATAAGAAACAAATATTATCATTCCTTCTAAGGACTTGCAGCAAATGAAGACAAGATAATGGTGTGGTCCACTTTAGGGAGAAAATCTTGGGACTTTTGCACCTTCCAATTTTCTAAGGTTGGCATGTATGTGGCTTCTCCGCCCCACAATGGCATCCTATGGCCAGCAGTTTGAGCAAATTTAGTATGAATCTACAATATTATTTCCTAGAGATTTTACCATACATTGTTAGAACCTTTTAGAGTGCAATAGTTGCATATTGATTTTTTCTTTCTTTCTGGTTTATAACTTCATAATTTTACTCATCATATAATCTTATAAATAGAGCCATGTTTTGGCTTAATAAAATATGGAGCATTCCAATTTTCTTGCACCCTATTCCTCTTCTACTTCTTTCTTTCTTATAGAGTTTATGGGTTTAGATCACAAAAACAATCTCTACATATTGCAAGAGTAAACCAACACACATCATTCCTTAAAAAATCCTACATTAGTAGAAGGTTCATGGGGTAAGCCCAATTGTAGGCATTTAATCCAAAAATAATTGTAGCATACATTCGACAGAAAAGGAAGAATATCAATTCCATATTTTAGATTATAATCCCTCATTCAATTTCAACGAAATGAAAATGTGCCCTAAATCATTGAAGACTTAATTCTCCATAGCTCTAGTATTACCTTTTATAAGTACTTTATAATCAATTTTAAAACACAGATCTCAATCTGTTTTAAAACATGAAAGATCAATTTTCCAACATTTGTATACATTTCCAAGATCGCATCATCTAGATAAACAAAACACGTAGACCAACAAAAGTAAATAACATATGAAAAAGATAAATTCATCTACGCACTTGCCTGAGTCAAATTTGTTGCATCAGCAATAACAAATGGAACATTTACAAAGCGAGCAAGTGTTTTGGCAAGTAGCGTCTTCCCTGTCCTTCCAATAGTATCACAACACAGTGAAACGTCAGAAATCGAATAAATATAACCTTGAACTTCCGGGGTGACCTTAAACTTGATTATTGTTGGTAATACAGAAAACTACAGTATAATAAAGCATACGGGCTGAAATTGAAGTAGCATACCAGAGCCAGTTGGACCCATCAATAGTACATTGCTCTTCTCCAACTCTACATCACAATCATCATCATGGAAAACATGATCAAGTTTCTCTGAGTCTGGTCCAGGCCTATATATAAATCAGCTTAATATTGAAATTTCTCGCCTTATAGTTTAGAAGTTCTTCAGCATTAAAAAGTAGCAAAACACAAAGGAACACAAATAGACACAAGGCTCGTTTTTTTGGCATTTATCGACTTAAAAATAAGGTCACATGAAGACTAACCCTTTGTCCAGTGATGCAAGATAGATTCTTTTATAATGGTTGTAAACAGCGACAGAGAGCACCTGCAATTAGTAAACAAGATTATGAAAAGAATTTCCAAACTTCTGTTCAAAAGAAACCGAAGACAAAACAAGTAGTTCATGTTGCAGAAAATGTGAAACAGCGAATAATTAGAAAACTAGAAATTCAGGATTTATTTGAAACAGCAAGAATTTTCAGTTAAAACAAAATTAGGCAAGGACTAAAATTCCATAATGCATTAACCTTCTTGCATTGGTCTATGGGGAAGAACTCTTGAGTTAGAGCAGCTCTGCAGGTAGCCTAAGATAGTGAGTGTCAGTTAGCCTAAGATGATAAAGATTTAAAAAATTGTTGACAAGGTCATGGGTTCGAATCCTGCTTACATTAGATTTAAAAAAATAAACAAATAGTAAAAAATGAGATATTGTAATATATAGAACTATTAGCAATCTAATTTGATAGTCTTGCCACTTTCCACTTTATGTGCTCATGATAAATTGGCATGCACATGTATGTGTAAAATCCATATTTATGTATAAAAATGTGAAAAAATTTTTGTTTGTGCTTGTGTTTATGCTAGTCCAAAAATATAAATGGATGATCATATTCGTAATCATATAAGATTCTTATCTTTGTGCATTTTTAGTGCATGAGTATGCATATCTATATTAGCATATACACACATGCAAATATATATATAGACTCAGAAAAATCCTCTATACATTAACAATGAAAGAAATAGTTTTAGTTGAACCAGCTTGCTATATCAAACACAATTTCCAACATAATTTAAATTAATTATGATGACTATAATGCTTCTCTTCATTGGATTCTTCAAGGTAATATAAATGGGTACTTATGCTGATCCTTAAAAAGTAGCTCTTTATAAAGAAAATTATGAAAAAAAATATATACTTCTCTTAACTCTGTAGAAATTCTACATAAGAATAATGAAGTAAATAAAATAATCACTAATATCCTTAGGATTTTACATTATAAGGATAAGGAACTTAATCCATTTCAAGAATAAGAAGCCAAATTTTCAATGAAAGGACAATTTTTATTATTGGGAGATGCATAAGGTATGATGAAAGCTTTCTATATTAAAAATATCAAACAAAAATATTTTTGAATGTTTGTCATGATGAAAGAAACAATCATAAAGGAGATTTTTTTCTTGGATTTAAAGATGGTGAAAAAATTTGATGCATAATTAATTAGATTACCTACTCGTACTAAAGATATTTATAACCAATGGGTAATTCCAAAAATCTCTGCAATACCTCCAAAAAATCTCATTAAAGACCAATGACAATTGTATTTCTTCACAAAATTATAAATCCCTTAAATTTGTTCATACACAATCACCACAAGACAAGATAAATTAAACCATTTGTATTCAACAACTATAATGTCTTAAATAATGATTTCAAATAAAAATTAATGAAAAATTACAGTATACTCAAATTATACTAAAAAAGACTCAAGATCCTAATACTAAACAACCATCTCAGGTAGAATTCTCCATATAAAATCTTTGTGATGATCTAAAGAGGAAATATCCTCATAAAACGCCTGAACAAATTAAATAAAGAATTGTGAAAGATCATCAAAGAGAAATCTTTGATTTATTCTTTACATCATGTCTTCCTAAGAAACCCAAATCAGGAAGATAAAACCTTCTCTATGAAAAATGAATCCCCATCCAAGCAACGAGCTGCAATATACAAGTCATGTAAAACATTGAGGAACCATGACTCCACTAACAGCAAACAATATGTGAAGGGAATCAAATGCTTTTAATAAAGAAGTTCACCCACATCTGTTCTTTTTCATAAGCTGCAGACAGTTAAACAATAACGGCTTACCACAACACATGGCTACAGGAAAACAAATGCCAATAGATAGATTCCTCAATTAATGACTATAGGAAAAAGATTTTTGACTAGGTTGTATATTTTTTTAATTTTAATGTCCTCTGAGTCTAAATATAAGAGTGTGTGAATATTTGAAAGGGCTGAATGAAAAAGAGTGAACTCTGTTTGGCTTGAGAATGCTTCCTTTCGCTATTACTTCCTCAATTATAATATTATGTTTTTAAGATTCAATAAAAGTTTATAACAAAACAATGAATTCAAAAGATATCATGTGAAAACATATTTAACATATTTTCGGATGGAAAGATATTTTCTCAAGCTAAGCTGGCCTCCCTGAGAGGAATTTTCTCCGTCTCTTTGTTTAGAATTATTTTTGGTTAGGGTCATTCAACCATTACTCTTTCCTGAGATCCAACCTTCCCCCATCATGCAAAAATTGATAGAATAGAAATCAAATACCGACTTAGAATTAAAAATATATTCTATATTAAAATCAAAATTAGACAATTGATTCATATAAATATAGTAGAGACAAGATTTTTGGCATCCTTCCGATTAATTGATTTAACTACACTACAATCAATCCTAGTCAAGAATTTTAGTTCTTGGAATTCAATAATGCATTGAACAATAAAAAGCATATCTTTCTTTATGGTGAATTCCATTTTTCTATAAAGTATTTGCCTACATTCTACGGAAGAATTAGGGGTTCGTTTGAGACGGCTGCAGTTGTCGATAAAGCAAGTTGTGAAGTTGTTGTAGAGAAATCTAAGTTTTGAAGTTGTTGTTCATAAAGCAATATATTTTGTTTAGGAAGTATAACTATCGAGCTGATGTGCTACAACTGCATGGGAACAAATTACGTTTATACTCTAATAAATATTGAGATGAAAGGAAATTGATTAAATGTCAAAAAAAAATTAAAATTTATATGATAACAAACTAACAATTCTATATTAAAATTGAATCCACTTTATGAATTTTAAATATCAAAGTAATACAATTTCTTTTACAATGGACAATCATACTTTTAATTTTTGTTATTACTTCATAATGAATATACTTTTTCTAATAATAATAAAAATATACTTCGATAAATTTTTAAAATTTAATTAAAAAAATTAAATAAGTATGTAATGATATGTCATGAAATAAATTATTTCTATTTCTCTAAATTACACTTTTACTGTGAAAATTTTTATAGAGACATTGTGTTCATTTAATCTCATGAAAAATCAATCTGAATATTTTGTTTTTTTATGAGTATCTTTAAAGTTGTTCCACATAAGCATAAAAGCTTTGAAGTCCTAATATTCCTTTTTTTTTTTTTGCATTTTAAAACCAATATATCTAATTGTAAATGTATGTTATTTGGTTGTTTTTAGGTTTTAATCATTCCCTTCATGTGTTTCAAAAGTTTATATTGATGTATATTTACTATCCTAATCAATTTAGGAGGTGATCCACCATAGTCGAGGCAAGTATAAGCGCCTTCACTTTGAGAATGCTGAAAATAAGGAACAAAGTTTCGAAGATAATGAGAACTATATAAGCTTAAAAAGTCCTCGCATCATATCAGAGACAACAACGATGGCTTCTAATATGTAAAGTCAGCATCCTTCTACCACAAATACAATCACAATGCAATTACAAATACAGAAAATAGTAGTGAAAATCACAGAGAATTGATAGGGGAATCTCAAATTATAGGCTTCTAACATTGTTTAAGCAACCAAAGAGGTTTACAAACTTCCACCTCTACTATTAACTCGCATTCGATAGGAAAAAAGTGTTTGATACAGACGGATTGGAAACTCCTTACTATCCACCAAAGCTTAACAAAATCCAACATCCAGCAGGCATAAAATAGTATATATTCTTGCATGCTTTAACAATTGCCTTATATGCAATTACAAATAGCATATATGAAGATCTATATAGTTCTCTACTTCACAGGCGGCGGACACGCACTGCTTTGCCGAGGCCAGAGGACTCTCTGTCCTCAACCTTTGACCTCGTCTCCAAATAAATATAGACATATAACAAAAAATATAAATTATGAAATACATGCAAAACAGACTAGCAAATACAATGCCTCATAGATATGTCTGCAGTCATACTTACCAGCCAGGATATGGCTCTAGGAAGCTGTAGGAAGAATCGGCCTTTATCAAAACTGAAGGAAGACTGTGAATTTCTGCCAAAAATTATCATAGTGATCTGCCCTATAGTTTTGTGAATTAAAGTTTGGGTTGCTGGAATTCCACTGAGCATTGTTTCAATCTGATTTCGAATAGCCCACAGTAGCTATATTATTGGGAGGACAGTTTTGGGAATCACTTGTTAGAGAATAAGAATTACAAGAAACCTTCTACATCAGGTTCTCTGTTTTCCAATCCATTTTCTTTATTAAATTCTTTCAGTTTAAGCAAAAGTCTATTTCATTTGGTCTAGACTTTGCTGTAAATTGCTGGTGGCCAGCTAATTTTTCCGCCATCAGCTGGGATCCTTGATAAACCAATTTTGTCATAGAATAAGATCAAGAAGGATATAACAGGAAAAACAACATATGAGGTTGTTGGAGTCACAACTTCATCTAGCAAGAAATTTTGGGATCCTAACTACAGAAGAGGGGAGAATAAGGGAGAAGAAGAAGAAGAATAATAAATGGGAAAGAAGAAGAGAAGAGAGAAGAAGAGGAGGAGAAGGGAGAAGAGTAAAATTTTACCTTGCGTGAGAGAGAGGGTCGACGGGAGGAGGGAGATTTGCGGCATCTTGGCTTGGTTCGAACGGAGGACAGGCGAAGACGAGGCTTCTGTCTGGGTCGTCTGTGAGAGAGAGGAGAGACGGGGCTTCCTAGGGCAAGCGAACAGAAGGACAAAGGGGAAGAGTGGGTCTGACTGGAAAGATGAAGGTTACTTTCAACTTTTTAGCATATCAGAACCGCGGAAAGCAGCGAACCGCACGAGATATTTTGTGTCGTAAAAAACAAGCTGCCAACGTAAAAATTTTTTGGGACTCCGGTCGAACGCACTACCCCAAACAATAGGAAGCGCACGTTTTAAACCATGAAGCAGCTGAGACGCATCCCAAACGCACCCTAGGTCTAATTTGTTTTAAGATACATCCACCATCAATATTAGAGGCATCGGTTTCAATAATAT